GCTTGTGGATTTCAATGGCTTCTCTGTGTAGTCTGACATGGTGGTTGTTGGTGTGGTCCAGCATTTCTGTGTTCTCAAATAATATGCTGTGTCCAGGCTGGTTCATCAGGTGCTCTGCTATGGCTGACTTCTCTGGTTGAAGTAGTCTGCAGTGCCTTTCATGTTCCTTGATGCGTGTCTGGGCGCTGCGTTTGGTGGTCCCTATGTAGACTTGTCCACAGCTGCATGGTATACGGTAGACTCCTGCAGCTGTGGACAAGTCTACATAGGGACCATAGATGCAGGCGAAACGCCAGGAGAAATGCCTCTAGAACATGGCTCTATAGCCCGAAAAAACCCACAAGAACCTAGAAAATAGATTGTTAATAAATAGTAATGAGTATTTCATTGTTTGAACTTAACATCAGTGGGGGCACTGACAAGAAATTTGTGGTATCTTAAATAGTCACAGATTTATTATTGTGTAACCGTTTTGGGACTTAGTGAGTTCAAAGTCCTGCTTTGGCATGAATCTCATTGGGTGGCCTTGGGCAGGTCATGTGCTCTCAACCTTAGAAGAAAGCAAAGGTGCATCCCCTCTGAATAAAAGTTGGAAAAAAAAACACCCCTGTGATAACTTTGCCTTAGGGTTGTGTTGTCATAAGTTAAAAACAACTTGAAGGGACATGAAAAGATTATTTTAATTTCCTGGGGTCCCTATTTTCAACCCTGCAGTCTAAAACAGCTAACATCATGAATTATGTGGAGAAATGGTTTTTGTTGCAATGTGTATTATGGCTAGATGGGTCCAAATGGTCTGTAATTGGAATATTCCCAGAAAGCAGGGCAGAAAAATGATGTTTTTCAAATATATACTTCCTGTGTGCCTCTTGAAATCCAAATCTTTGAAAAATACAGATATAAATATAATAATGAGGTAAAAATTACATTACTGTATCTGGGATCCATCGTCCATAGGTGGAAGGGTTTCACTCATGGAAATGCCTCCTCCTGGTTTTCTGGGAACACCCATTCCTACCTTGCCCCTCATCATGATTCACTCAGGGGTTCACCTGTTGTATAACACACCCAGGAAGTGGAAGGGATTACCTTTAGTTTGGAAGGGGAAGGTACATCCTCTAGCACAATTGCACATAGCTAAATCTGAAGCCTATTATTTGTAACACTGGACTGTAGTAATAGATGTTTTATACATGCAGAAGTGCAGAATTGTAACTTTTTGCACTCCATTCTCTATTAAGTTGCCTTTATTGGTCAGAAAAACTACTTGAAATAGTAAATTCATGTGGAGTTAACTTCCTTTAGATAACACAGGTGAGTGGCAGTTTGGCTTTGTCATGAGTTGTAATGGTTTCTTACAAAACTATTCAGGGAATTCCCATCTGAGAAATGTTTCTTTGTCTTGAGAAAGAAGATGGTTGTACTAAAAGCCTGACCTTTTAAAAAGCATGACACACACTGCATGCTATGTGATCTGGCGATTAAGAGTCCATGATGGGAAGTCTGGACTTTTGGGTACTATTCCTTGCTTATTGGATGACTTGGTGAACTTTTATTTTGCTGGGTCAATGGCTAATTTACCATTGATTGTCAGAGTTGTCAAAACCACATTGTCACTGGAATTAGTGACATAATCTTAGAGTTTTCTTGTGTTTACATCCAAATGTAAATCTATGCCACTGAGTTGTAATCATGAAACTATTTTCATCTTCCAGTGCCTCATGAGATTTGACTAAACTCTTTCCTGTGTTATTCTCTTGTTATCTGTCCCATATTTTACTGGGCGTATATCTGCTCCAAAAATTTAGTTTCTCATAGTGGGACTGTCTCCTCCCTTTCCATCAATCAGGATAACCTTCTGACAACTGCTCCCATTATTCTATGCTTGCAATCCTGACTGTAGCAATTTGAAAAATCCCATCTTAAAGGCTGACATGTTTGAGAGATTGTGACTAAACAGGAGGGAACCACCTTGTTCACTAATACAGTACACATGGGTTAGTACTGTACACTGAAACTGTTTTGAAATAGTTCCATGTGCCAGATGTCATTTAGTAGAAGTGATTTTGAGTGCAATGGCTCACCAGGAAATTGTCTCCATTTGCATGTAAATATCCTCCCCCAACAACAATTAGTTGTGAAATTTGCTTCATAGAGTCAAAGAAGTAGAACGGATCCAGCCCCTGATAGTGCAGGATTTCATTGCTAAAACACATCTGGGGAGTGGCCACCTAACCTCCATTCAAAACTAATAATGGAGAGTCCACCACCTTCTTAGGTAGACTATTCTATAGACAATTCCTACCTTCAGAAATTCTGCCTAATATTTAGTTATCTCTCTCTCTCTCTCTTTGAGCCCCTGGTGGTGTGGTGGGTTAAACCCTTGTGCTGGCAGGACTGAAGACCGACAGGTTGGAGGTTCCACTCAACAATCGCATTTTCTGGCTCAGTGCTACCCAAAGTGGTAGCCCTTGATCAGTGCCAGAAATATTGTGTTGGTGTTTGCTACACTGGAGGAAAATAATTGCCAGTTTTCCATATCAGGTGGAATGTGGGAAACGGAAGCTCTGATCTAGCTTCTCTGCAAAAAATACCCAGAGAGATCTTGTCAAAAGATTTATTGAAACAAAATTCTTCTTCATTGTCTGTGTGATTCACACAAATAGGTTAAGTGTGTCAAAACTGTGTCGCATGCCTCAAAGCCCCGATATGGGAGGAGGCTCATAAATCTTCTGTTAACAAGCCAGAAAACAGAGTTCTCCATTCTGCCTCTTTTGCCATCACAAAGTCCAGTGAGTTCAATCTGAGCAGGCATTTTGAGTTCTTCCATCAGAATAGCTCTAAAGTGCGTTCCCACAGGGAGACTCCCTCTAGTCCTGGCAAGATAGGAGTTGCCAGATAGGCCTACTTCTGAACCGGCAGCTAGGTCCAACAACTGTTCAGTGTTGGACTTATACCCTCTGGAAGTATCTCCCTTCACTTCCTTCTTCCCCTAAACCTCTGATCACTGAGAAACCAACTTTGGGAAAGGAAGGTGCATTCTAGCATACATTCAAAGATTGATTTTCCTCTTCTTTGTCTTCAATGACTTTATCTGATAGTTGGTTTCATAGCTCTCGGTACTCTCATTCAGGCTGCAAACATCAACATTGCAAATATGCTTACTATGACAAGGATGATACCTAGAACTGAAACTGATATCCTTCTCCATATGTTTTTCTTGTAGTCCAGAATGTTATTGTGACTATGCCAGTATCACGACATTCTTCCAGATAACTGCCATTGTTCCTATCAATATTGAGGCCATTTTCATTGCTTGATTCATTTGCCATACTCAAAAACTTGTCAGTCCCAGTGCTCGAGAAACCATTGGTCCTCATCTCTGCTTCCCGCACATTGGAAGCTTGAGCCTGTTCTTTGCCTTTGAACACTAGAATATCAACCAGTTCCAACTCATTATTTGTTGTCTCATGTTGTTCACCATTTGTCATCGTCCATTGTTGTCTCAGCCCTGGGTGTATCCTCTAAGAATCCTGTGAAATGCTGTGTACTTAAAATGATGATAGCATTTCTTGTTTCCCTTTTAGAGCCTTTTCACACATTACATTTTACAATTCTGAAAATCAGGGATAACTGAAGCATCAACAGTCAGTGTAATGTGGGGTGTAGAAATGCAGAAGTGACAGAGTTGACTTTACCTTTTCAGGGTATTAGCTGTCACTATTAATTTACTCCATATTAAAGTGAGCCAACTAACAAAAAGACTTCCTGAAAACGGAAAGCTAGGGGTCATGGAGATAAGGTCACACAAAGCCCTTGCTAGCTTTTCATCTGTGTGAAAAGTGTGTGTGTATAGATAGATAGATAGATAGATAGATAGATAGATAGATAGATAGATAGATAGATAGATAAAATGTGATCTTGCACCTCCGTCTGAAATGCTGGAGTTTATTTCCAACATCTTGAATTCAATTTTTAGGGGAGAGACAGGATACAAATAAAGTGAAGAACTAAAACTATTCAGTGTGCTATAGTGTGAAGGATAAAATGTGTGTAGTTTGAAGAAATAGTTGCCTTCATTCTAAAAAAACATGAACTATATTTAATTTCCTTTATGACTAAAAGAAAGTGCTTTGTATCATGCACTTCTAAGAAGCAGTTATGTGTGGGTGCAGACAGGAAATCCCCTTGTAGCTATGTATAGACTTACTGCGGTGGTATCTAGACCTGAAAGTGTATGATATTCCTTAGTGAATAAAGGACCGAGGGTTTTTTTTTTTCCCATGTCAGGAGCAACTTGAGAAATTGCAAATTGTTTCTGGTGTGAGAGAATTGAACGTCTGCAAGGATGTTGCCCAGGGAATGCCTGCATGTTTTATGATCCTGTATGATCCACATGGGAAGCTGGAGCTGACAGATGGGAGCTCACCCCGCTCCGCTCCCAATTCGCACCACCCACCTTTTGGTCAGCAGTCCTGCTGGCACAAGGGTTTAACCCATTGCGCATCAGGGCTCCAGAGTTATGTTTAAGGTGGCACTATTCTTCTATGTGTTAACAATAGAAAAGTCCACTGGAGATTTTCTTTAAAAAGGTTCTGTCTCAATGAAAGTGTAGAATGCTGTACATAATAAATAGCCTAAAAGGTTAACATAGAGCATTCTCATTCTCCCATATAAATATCCTGAGATGCCAGTACTTAAGGATTCTTAAGGAGAATCTTGATGTTAACTGCCTCTCTGGCTTTCACTATGGTCACAATTTTTCAGATGTTCACCCTAAATTTTGCTGACAGGCTATTTATTCCCATAATATTGATTTAAATAATATTCTGTGATGGTTCCAGACATAGCCACAGAGATCACAGGATATTCTCCAGGATAAGCTGAGTAGTAAACAGTACAGTGTGTCGCTCACATATTAGGAAGCCATTTCCATCTTTAGTGCCCCAAATTTCTCATTCACCGAATACTCCTTTTTTATCTCCTTTTCCTTTCCATAGCTTTTGGATGTTGTCAACCACCTGGCTCAGCAGAATCTACGGTTGCTTGTCCTGGGGCGCAAACACATGCTGAATGGATCTCGTCAATGGAACAGAAATAACATGGCTGCTATGCAGAAGAAGGCAGACTTCTTTTTTACAGAAAATGTGTATGTTCTTGTCTTCTGTAATGAGCATCTTCACAGATATTTGCACAAAAGAAAGGGTGCTTCCATTCATAGGGCTCCTAGTACTAATAAATAAATACACTGTTCAGCTATTCAATCTTTTTCTCCTTAACATATTTGTTGACATGGAGAAAGAAAAAAAAAGTGGAATAAGCATCGGGGAAACATGGCCAGGTTACAAATAGAGGAGCTACAGCATTCTGTGAATGAAATAAAAGCATAATTGGGAAGCATGCACAGGTTGCTTTTTGGCAATTGGATAAGTGGACAGTGATTTTGATAATTTCATGGAAATGAAAACATACAGAATTATACATTCTTTATCCGCTGCATCTCTTTTATAATTACAGACTAATAATTTCAATCCTTCTCCCAGGGCAATGTAAAATGCATGCAGGTCTCTCATTGTCATCATTCTATATTGTGGCCTTCCTTTGTGTGTATTTAACCAATGATCATCTGCTTTGTATTCCTTACCACATTTGAAACACTGACTCTACTAATCTAGCCATTAAGATTGAGAAACCGATGAGATGTTTATCAGAACAAGGCAGAGCTCATTAAGGCATACTTCTCTCCCAAAATATTAAGAAAACTGGAATCGGCAGCACTAGACAAGTAGCCTTTGATACACGAAGAGTTGTCTAGAACTTTACAAGCAAAATGCAATCTTTTCAGGATTTCAGTTTGCTTGCACTAAAAGAACACAAATTAATAGGGGGAAAATATTTTTAACCACACGAAGTTTGTGTCTAAGAGACAACTGGAGTACCATGCAATGCTTAACAAAGAGTACTTGTGACTTCTATTTTCTCATGATCCCTAAAATAAAATAGTCAAGAACATCAATGATTTTTGTCAGTGTGGGTATTCCCTCATTGCATTCATAGTTGTTCATCAGCTGATGGTCAGCGTTCTGATACTGAGCATCTCCATACTTTGACACTAGTCCAGAGGTAGCAGTTTTGCAGCATGTCAGTATTCTGAGCCTTGATGAAACCTACAGCAGCCTAGACTCAGTTGGTAAAATCTTTGAGGAGCATGGACCATCTCCATATCATGATGAAGCTGTAAAATAGGACCTCTGGGAGACAACAGAAAAAACCACCAGTGATTTTCTGTGACTAAAACATGAGCGCTAAGAATTCTGCCAATTTAATACAGTGCTTCAACTATTGTTCAGTCGTTCAGTCATTTCTGACTCTTCGTGACCTCATGGACCAGTCCACGCCAGAGCTCCCTGTCAACCATCACCACCCCCAGTTCCTTCAAGGTCAACCCAGTCACTTCAAGGATGCTTCAACTATAAACAGTTTGAAATAAATCATTAGTGAAACCGAGAGCCACACTTCAATTTTGAAACAGAAATTTAGTAGAGACTTTCAAAATCCCAAGCAAGTGCCTTAAATTTTGATGTTGGCATTTATGCTTTTGAAATACAGCTGTTCCTGAGCTTTAGCTATTTTCCAGTGTTTGATCTAAATATTTGATGGCTGCTTCCTGAATATGTAAAATCTCATCTGGCAAGATTGTTTGAATTCACAAGTTGTCTTTTGTTGTACCATCATTTTGTATGACACGGTTTTGAATACTACCTTATTTCCCAGAATGTGGATGATACGATGATAGGCTCAACATATTAGGCTCATAATTAATCAGGATGAACATTATTCAGATATATTCTAGAATGGCTGTCTTGTTAATTTGCTGCAGCAAAAAAGGGGATGTGTAGAGGGGGGAAGGTTCTCATAGTAGCTAAAGGTTAACCAATTCATTATGAACACCTGAGATAGTTCTACAACCCTCAGGTCTGCAATTTGTGATGATCTTCTTTGCCTTTTTTGATTTAAGGTCTGAAGACGATCCATTTCTACTCTATGCCACTCTTCACTCAGGGAGTCACTGCAAATTTGTTACTAGAGATCTGTTGCGTGATCACAAAGCTTGTCTCTCAGACAGTCTTACTCGACGCCTGTTCTTTAAATGGCAACGTGGTCATCAGATGGTGCTATCTGACTACATACCAGGAAAAAGGATCAAATTTGAGGTACCGTTTGTTGTATTTTTTGCTAACAATGCATGCATGTTTGATTCTTTATTGTACTGTTTAGTTAGTGTTAATAGACATAAACCATGCTGAATATCATCTTCATAACAGAGTCAGATGAATATAATCTAAACTCAAATAAAGTTGATTATATTCACCTGACTCTGTTACGAAGATGTTTGTTTCCTTTTTAAAAAAGAGAGAAAACATGTTAGTAAATATTAATGATTTCCATATTTATACATAGTAAAAACAGCATAACTTATCTTACTTTCTTCTTTAACAGCATGTATTGAATTACGATACAATTGTGCAGACTACAGGTAACACATGGCATATTCCCTATGATGACAGCAATTTGGAAAGATCTTCATATGAAGTGCCAATAAAATGGCTTTGTCTTCAGCAAAAATAAAATATTCACTTTTTACAAACAGTGTGTGGTTCTTTTTTTCCACCAGACATCATATACCCATATACCATCATATACCCATTGCAAAAATTCTGTTTGTCTTTCTTCCTTATCAACCAGTAGCAAATTATAATATGATTGTGCAGACTGCAGAAAACACAAGCATATTTGCTATAATTACACCTTGGTGGAAAGATCTTATGTAGTACCATCAGGACGGCTATGTTTCCATCAGATTTTCCCTCATTCTCAAGTTAATTGTTGGTCTCTCTCTCCCTCTTGCCACCATTACTAGAAGGTGAGAAACTCAAATTGTGGGTTATTTGGGAAAGCAGCTTATAAACTTTTGATTTTAGTGTGTGCATGTGCACTCTCATGTGTTAAGTTCCTAGTGTTCCACCGTGCTAATATCACCTCAAGAAAGAGAATAAATATGTAGTTGTATATTTGCATCTCTGATTTCATCTCTGAAGAAACTGATATGGCAACAGTCTGGGGGCCCTTCCACGCAGGTCACATTTTCTGCTTTGAACTGGAATACATGGCAGTGTGGACTCATAACCCAATTCAAAGCAGATATTGTGGGATTTTCTGCCTTGATATTCTGGGTAATATGGCTGTGTGGAAGAGCCCTTGGTTGCAAGTAAAAGAGGACTAAGTCTGGTTGTTCACCCCAGATATCTCATGTACCAAAAATCAGGTTTCTTCTGTTATTTAGCATATATCATAATATCCAATAGGAAATACACGAACTAGATAAGATGAATGCAAATAACCTAGTTGTTTGTGCCATATTTTCCAAACAAAATAAGAACTATTTTAAACCACTCCTTCAGGTGTGGTTTATATATTACAAAGCACATATTTAGTATCAATGGGATACTGAATGATTGCTTGAAAGTAGACTTACCGTTAAGTATCATAAACAGATGCAGATGCAGACTGTGGCCAGGAAATCAGAAGACGCTTACTTCTTGGGAGGAGAGCAATGTCCAGTCTCGATAAAATAGTAAAGAGTAGAGACATCAGACTGGCAACAAAGATCCGCCTAGTCAAAGCCATGGTATTCCCTGTAGTAACCTACAGATGTGAGAGCTGGACCTTAGGGAAGGCTGAGCAAAGGAAGATCGATGCTTTTGAGCTGTGGTGTTGGAGGAAAGTGCTGAGAGTGCCTTGGACTGCGAGAAGATCCAACCAGTCCATCCTCCAGGAAATAAAGCCCGGCTGCTCACTGGAGGGAAAGATACTAGAGACAAAGTTGAAGTACTTTGGCCACATCATGAGGAGACAGGAAAGCCTAGAGAAGACAATTATGCTGGGGAACGTGGAAGGCAAAAGGAAGAGGGGCCGACCAAGGGCAAGATGGATGGATGGCATCCTTTAAGTGACTGGACTGACCTTGGGCGAGCTGGGGGTGGTGACGGCCGACAGGGGGCTCTGGCGTGGGCTGGTCCATGAGGTCACGAAGAGTCGGAGACGACTGAACGAATGAACAACAAATCATAAACAGAATAAAGTTAAAGGAAGGGGATAATGTCTAAGTTTGTTAACTCACTTCTGAGAATGGAAGTGGGTTAACCATAGTTGACTCATCAAGTAGCTAAGATATGTGCTCTAGGAACTACAAGAAATAAATTTAGAAGAGACTATAGTTGGTTTTATAGTTACAGAATACAAGGCTAATGTAGGGAGACAGAATACAATGGCAGAAAGACAAAGTGTTTCTATCAAATGAAGGGAAGTAAAAGAACTAGGAACTGTGGGAGTTGAAGTCCAAAACACCTGGAGGGCCAGAGTTTGTTTTAAGTAATCTTTGCCAAAGAGTGCTGATGCCTCACCAAACTGCAACTCCCAGGATTCCATAGCATCCAGCCAAAGTAATAAAGTGGTATCAAAAATATTGGGGCAAGGAAATCAAAATATTTCCCAAAAAGCAAGAACCTCCTTTCCAAAAGGGAAGGCAAGGAAGGACACCACAAGTTGAATCTTTTAAACTACAAAAACTATTGCGTGGCCATAGCAATAACGACAAACAAGCATATAGGAATGCAATCAAAGGGTTGGTCACAATCCCCAATGTGGCTGCAGAGTTTTTATCACTTTGGTAGTAAATGGAATATACATTTTCATTGGTTCCCAAAGACAAATAATTTCATTGGTCTAAGCTAGCTATACAGTTGTTCATTAGTTGTTGATGATTTTGATTGACATTATAGCACACGTGGGATCCTAACAATGACACAGCTACTGTATAACACAACTATAGTCTATTGTTCTTTGACCATGACTGTCTCAATGAATCAATCTTATCTGTTAGTCTGTTGCAAACATGACTTCAGAGCAACTGGGAAACTTGGGGGGTTCTAACTAGCTGGTTTTGTCTAGATGTACTGTTATCCTTGAATAGTAACTTCTTCTCTGGAGCACTGATTTCTCAAACAATCAGCATTTTCTGTAAACATAGGCCTACTGCAAAAATAGGTCAATATGGTAGTAAATCATGACATATTGGCATTGGGAACAGCTCTGAAATGTAGGCCCTCCAGGTGTTTTGGACTTCAACTCCCACCATTTCTAACAGCCTCAGGCCCCCGCTTAAGCGGCTGAGGGGGAAAAGGAAGGGGCCTGAGGCTGTTAGAAATGGTGGGAGTTGAAGTCCAAAACACCTGGAGGGCCTACATTTGCTCAGGCCTGGTGTAGATACACCCTAACGCAACTTCTATTGTAAGCTTGCGGAACTGAGGACAAACAGCCAAATGTGCTTTTCATAGAATCATAAGAGTACCTGCCAAGAAGCAGGAAAATTGCATTCAAAGCACCCCTGACAGATGGCCATCCAGCCTCTATTTAAAAGCTTCCAAAGAAGGAACCTCCAGCACACTCCAGGGCAGAGAGTTCCACTGCCGAACAGCTCACACAGTCAGGAAGTTCTTCCTAATGTTCAGATGGAACCTCCTTTCTTGTAGTTTCGCCTCCTAGTCTCCAGGGAAGCAGAAAACAAGCTTGCTCCCTCCTCCCTATGACTTCCTCTCATGTATGCTATGATGTCTTTTCTCAGCCCTCTCTTCCTCAGTCTAAATATGCCCAGCTCTTTAAGCTGCTCCTCATAGGGTTTGTTCTCCAGACCCTTGGTCATTTTAATCGCCCTCCTCTGGACACATTCCAGCTTGTCAATATCTCTCTTCAATTGTGGTGCCCAAAATTAAACACAATTGAACCAAGGCTGAAATCATGTTTTTTCACAGTCTTCTCTTCTTCAGGCTAAACATGCCCAGCTCTTTAAGCCGCTCCTCATAGGGCTTGTTCTCCAGACCCTTGGTCATTTTAATCGCCCTCCTCTGGACACATTCCACCTCTGGACACATTCCAGTCAATACCTCTCTTCAATTGTGGTGCCCCAAATTAGACACAATTTTGGGCACCACAACTGAACCAAGGCTGAATAGCATATTCAATATGTCGGCCTCTCTCTGGCAAGCCAGACAAACACACGCTCTATGTCAGAACCATGGCAATGAGAGCAAACCTCGCGCATGCTCAGAAAGGTAGCTCCGGGTTTTGTTGACAGCTCCGAATCCCTCTGCGCCTGCGCGTGGCGGGCAATGACTAAGGAGCAAAATGAACCGGAGGAGAACGTGGGTCTTGCCGCTTTTTAGCGGACTGCGCCTGCGCGAGGCCATGTGGCCCGGAAGTAATTCTCCGTAGCTTGCACTCCGGCTGCTGAAAGAAGCCCCTTTGCGGTGTACTTACCGGCGGCTCTCTGTTCAGCCTCCGCGGTGGTCTTTCCCATACAAACATGTCCCGAGGCTCCAGCGCCGGCTTTGACCGGCATATTACCATTTTCTCCCCCGAGGGACGCCTCTACCAAGTGGGTGAGTCTCCGGCGAGAAGCGCCCCGTCATGGCCTAGGCCCTCATCCTCACTTATAGAGACCCCGTGAAAGTGAACACTGTTCCTGGCATTTTATAGGGGGATTAAATGTAAAAACATGGGAAACATGTTCAAAGAACTTCCTGGCTGTGAGAGCTGTTCAGCAGGGGAACTCTCTGCCCCGGAGTGTGGTGGAGGCTCCTTCTTTGGAGCCTTTTAAGCAGAGGCTGGATGGCTATCTGTTGGGGTTGCTTTGAATGCGTTTTTCCTGATTCTTGGCAGGGAGTTGGACTGGATGGCCCATGAGGTCTCTCCCAACTCTACGAAAAGCGAAACTGAAAGAAACCTGCAAAGTCCCTTTGTGTGTTTTAGCCTCCCCTTGTATACTTCCATAATGAACTTATTTCAGTTTCACTTACCGAATTTCCTCCTCTTAGACTATTACTGGTATCCATGGCTTCCAAAGGAACAAGATCTCCTTTTTAGAAATCAAGGATGTAGCTGTGGTCATCTGAGAGGCGAGAAAAGGAATCTCTTTCCACCTGGAGAAATGTATTGTAATCCCATGAAATCTTGTGCTGAAATAAATTGGTTAATATTAAAGGTGTCAACAGACTCCTTTCCCCCCATCTTTTTAAAGATAACATGGTAATAGTATGATAGCTGGGTCCAGAAGCTATGAGCGTTATGCTGCTTCCGCTTCGCTTCTTCGGGAGTGCTATTTGCACAACGCAAAACACTACATGTGACCGAGACACGGGGCGGAATGAGATATTATGGAAGGAATGTAAGACTTACTTAATGGTTAAATTAACCGTTAACCATAACCCTTACCCTACCCCTAAACCTAATCCTTACCCTAACCCAAATCCTAAACACTTAACCTTATCCTAACCCTCCCCTCCTTTCTATCCTTCATCCAAAAGCAACAACAAAGTATATTCCCACCTTCAGCATGCCGCTCTCCCCCTTTGCGGCATCTACGTAATACTCAGAGCTTCTGGACCCAGCTATCATACTATCACCAATAACAACTGTGGATCACTCTAACAACTACCATGTCAGGCTACACAGAGAAGCCACTGAAATCCACAAGCATGTGGACAATTTAAACAGAAAGGAAGAAACCATGAAAATGAACAAAATCTGATTACCAGTATTAAAAATAACACTCAAATTATGACAGTAAATACAGAACAACACTCAAACACGGGAACTCCAGACAATAAACAATCAGGGCCAGCTAATCACTCTCGACAAAGGATTCCCCCAGGCAGTAACAAGTCACACCTAAAAACTGTTATGCTATCAAATGCCAATCAAGGTGGCCAATTGCAACATTTACACCTACCTCCAACAGACAAGAGTTCTTTCTCCCACCCTGGACATTCCACAGATATATAAACCCCATTTTCCTAGTTTCCAACAGACCTCGCAACCTCTGATAATGCCAGCCATAGATGAAATGACAGGAGAGAATGCTTCTGGAATATGGCCATGCAGCCCAGAAAACTCACAACAACTCAGAACTTCATTCAGTTTCATTTACTAAATTTCCCCTTCTTATACTTTTACTGGTATCCATTGAATCCAAAGGAACAAAATCTATCGTTTAGAAATCAAAGCTGTAGCTGTATCCATCTGGGAGGCAAGGAAAGGCATCTGTTCGCATCTGAAGAAATGTACTCTTATCAGTAAGTTGGTTAATATTAAAGGTGCCAACTGACTCCTTTCCTCCATCTTTTTAAAGATAGCATCTTTGTATTATCCTGCACTCATACATCAGTTGTGATAAGAAACATACATTGTTAATAGTCTAGCTTTCTCAAATGCCACTTAGATTTTTTTCACATTTCAAATGCATGCATAATTTCAAATTGTGCAATACTTTGCATGGAATACTATTATTTATTTACTTACTCTATTTGTATCCTGCCTTTCTCTACCCCGAAGCGGACTCAAGGTGGCTTTACATATAGCAATTATTTGATGACTTGATTTGATGAACAACAAATAGTTAAAACACATTAAGGTAAATATTTAAAATTAACATTAAATGCACATTAAAAACATAAAACATTACAATCACTCTTAAAAATCACGCTATCCACAATCATAATCCGGGGCCATTCCAAAAGTTATTCTTCAACAGTCTTCAAAGGCAACCCCACATATAGCGCATTGCAGTAATCTATTTGGTATGTGACCAGAGCACGGACCACCATGGCCAAGTCTGACTTGCCAAGTTACGGGCACAAGTTTTAATTGTGCAAATGATCCCCTGGCCACCACCGAAACCTGGGGTTCCAGGCTCAGCAATGAGTCTAGGATCACTCCCAAGCTGTGAACCTGAGTCTTCAGGTGGAGTGTAATCCCGCCCACACAGGCTGTAACCGTATACTCAGTTCAGCCTTGCAACCGACCAGGAGTGCATCTATCTTGTCTGGATCCAATTTCAATTTGTTCACTCCCATCCAGACCATCACAGCTGCCAAGCACCGGTTCAGGACCTGAACAGCCTCCTTAGTAGCAGGTGGAAAGGAATGATAAGAGTTGAACATCATCTACTAAGCAGACAAATAATACAGCCCAACAATTTTTTTTAGTGTTTTGGTTTTTAGTCCTGTTTCTTGGGTTATTTGGTGCGCTCATTCAGAAAATTGCATTGGATAGACTGCATCAGCTTTAGTTTCTTATGGTTATCATGGTTTTATATGGGATAGCAGATGGCAGCTGATAGATGGAATATGTTTTGTGCCTCAAAAACTAGAGCTCATAGAGGAAAACTGGTGCCATTTTTAGGATCGGCAAGTCAGATATACCCAGAAACAGGCCTAACATTGAGGCACCTAAATTTGTGTTGGCTAGTGTAATTGTCTTTTAATTAAGAGTTTTGTTCTGAAAGTTATTGCCATAGGAATATCACTAAATCTTGATATTTAATTTATCATTTAAGAGTATGCGTTTAAGGCCATAAATCAGGGTGGCCTTACATCAGTAGCCGTCCGTGGGAAAGACTGTGCAGTTGTTGTCACACAGAAGAAAGTACCTGTAAGTAACACAACTATCCTACTGTCTTCTTGTTCATGTTTGAAAGCTTAGCTAATTAGTGGTCTTCTTTTATTTTTAGTGTGTTGGTAACATATACAGGCATAAGCCCAGTTAAACTTGCTTTTTTTAAAAGATGTTTTGTTAGGAAATGATAATAACAACAACAACAACTTTATTTATATCCCACCCATCTCCCTAAAGGGACTTGGGGCAACTGACAAGGCAACAATAGTGCAACACAAAACATATAAAATACAACAAAAATTAGCCAGAATCAATAAACAACAACTCTTGCACAACAACACTCACACTAGATGCACAGTAGTAGCCAAGGCATTAAAGATCATAGTTCCTCCTTGTCAGTTACTGACTGGCTGCAAAGATGTATCTAGCTTTCTTTCCTCTGAAGAAGCCTTACACCAGGAGCAGAGTCCTTTTCTCTTTGCTGGGTTCACAAAAGCTGCCAGAATATGTGTAGAAATACCTTCACAGCCAGATAATATAGAATGTAAATGTGCAACAACAGCCAAAGGAGAAAGGGAGAAAGAAAAAAAGGCTATGCTTCTTTAAAAAATGAAGTACCACTGTGTGGTGCACATGCTTATTAATTCATGGCCGTAATTCTTAACTTCATAGCCATTCTCATTGAAGACTACTGGGATTCTTTGAAGAATGCAGATGGATTCATAAACAATCAGACTTGGAAGTTCTCTGGAAATACGAGTTGGTAAAATTAGTCCCCTTGTGCAGCGCTCTAGCTCTCTCAGGATGTACAGCTCAAAGGAGGAAAAACAATTGTTTTGATAAAACTGAGTAGTGGCCATCTGAGTCTGTCATGATCTCATGAGAAAATGTCCCTGATTTAAGGACTTCAGTTCTTCATTTGTTTCTGACCATCTCATGTGCTCCTGGGACCCAGTGGTTTACCAGTTACTGATAATTAAAAGATTTTCTAAAGCAGTGCTCCAATCTGGATATTACACTAAACAAGAAGTGGAGAGGGACCTGTGGGGATCAAATTAATGTAACCAGGGAATGCTTCCTTATCAGAGTAAGCATGCTGCTGTGAAAAGAAGTCAAGAAGTCCTAAGTGTTGAACAAACCATCAAATTATGGCTATTATTAACTGTGGTTTCTGGTTGCTTCTGGATCGAGAGAATCGGCCGTTTACAAAGACGTTGCCCAGGGGACGCCTGGATGTCTTGCAATCCTGCGAGGAGGCTTCTCTCATGTCCCTCAATTCATGGGTGATACCAGATGAGCAGGGAGCTTTGAGATGGTAGAACAGAAGCTCTCCGAAGCTCTAGGTGCTCTTACTGCCTATTACAGGGAAAACCAGCTGATCCCTAATCCATCTAAAACACAGACATGCGCCTTTCACCTTAAGAACAGACAAGCATCCCGAGCTCTGAGGATTACCTGGGAAGGAATCCCACTGGAGCATTGCAGCACACCCAAATACCTGGGAGTCACTTTGGACCGTGCTCTGACCTACAAAAAGCACTGCCTGAACATCAAGCAAAAAGTGGGCGCTAGAAACAACATCATACGAAAGCTGACTGGCACAACCTGGGGATCACAACCAGACACAGTGAAGACATCTGCCCTTGCGCTATGCTACTCTGCTGCTGAGTATGCATGCCCAGTGTGGAACACATCTCACCACACTAAAACAGTAGATTTGGCTCTTAATGAGACATGCCGCATTATCACAGGGTGTCTGTGCCTACACCACTGGAGAAATTACACTGCTTAGCCGGTATTGCACCACCTGACATCCGCCGGGAAGTAGCAGCCAATAGTGAAAGGACCAAGGCAGAGACATCTCCAGCTCATCCCCTGTTTGGGTATCAGCCGGCACGTCAACGACTTAAATCTAGAAATAGTTTTCTAAGATCTACAGAGACACTCGCTGGAACACCTCAGCAAGCGAGAGTCCAAAAGTGGCAGGCTCAAACCCAGCACCTCAACAATGGCTGATACCAAATGAGAGACTCCCCCCTGGGCACACAGAAGACTGGGCGACTTGGAAGGCGCTGAACAGACTGCGCTCTGGTACCACGAGATGCAGAGCCAACCTTCAGAAATGGGGCTACAAAGTGGAATCCTCGGCATGCGAGTGCGGAGAAGACAAACCACTGACCACCTGCTGCAATGCACCCTGAGCCCTGCCACATGCACAATGGAGGACCTTCTTGCGGCAACCCCAGAGGCACTCCAAGTGGCCAGATACTGGTCAAAGGACATTTAACCAAATACCAAATTTGCAAAATCTGTGTGTGTTTTTTTTCCTTTTTTTTTAATCTGTGTGTTTGTTTTGCTCTGTTAGAATTGTAATACAATGGTTGTTGATGACACGATAAATAAATAAATAACTGTGGTTTGTTCGAAATAAGTTGACATGAAGACATGAGTCTGAAACTATTCAAATATTACTGTTTTTAAAAGCTGTTTTTGTGCAGATAAGACATTCTAAATTTGATCTTGTTTTGTTATATACTATTTACATTTTCTTTTCTCTTTTATCCATTAGGATAAGCTTCTGGATTCTAGCACAGTGACACACTTATTCAGAATAACTGAAAATATTGGATGTGTAATGACAGGAATGACAGGTATGAAACACACAACAATGGGATGTTGTTTACAGTATTGATTTCAGCTGAAGTTTAGGTTGTAGTGCTAAATAAACAATTAACCTTTTACAATTAACCTGAAATATTTTCAAGGGAGGAACTGAGTTCCTGGATGGGAAACCAATAGTTAATTCTTAATATATTTTACTATAGTCCCTGGAAAAAGGAGAATAGATATAGCTGTCTTGTCTCTCTGTATTGGGAGTTAGGCAGGATAAAAATAAAGTAAATAAAGACAGACATAAATATATTTAGATCTTGCAGAGTTGGATGTTGGAATATAGATCCTTTTACAGAAGATCATTGAGGTTGTGTTTGAATGTAAGTTACATTTTCAAGTAGCCAATTACATGGAAGTTAAAGATTGATTTCTCTTTTTTCTTTATTATTAGCTGACAGTCGGTCTCAGGTGCAGAGAGCCCGCTATGAAGCCGCAAATTGGAAATACAAATATGGTTATGACATTCCAGTAGATATGCTGTGCAAAAGGATTGCAGACATTTCTCAGGTCTATACACAGAATGCTGAAATGAGGCCTCTTGGTTGCTGTAAGTATAATGACACATACAGGCATTCCCCAAGTTATGAACAAGATAGGTTCTGTAGGTTTGTTCTTAAGTTGAATTTGTTTATAAATCGGAACAGGTACTTTAAAAGTGTAATCAGCCACACACACACACACACACACACACACACACACACACACACATATATATATATATATATATATATATATATATATATATATATAAAAGCTTTGGATAGCAATGGAAAGGTTTAACACCCCTGTGGTGTTTGTTTTGCTGTCTGTGCCCCTGTTCAGAAGATCTCACCTCACTTTCTGTCCCTGTGATAATTGGATTTTGAAAAATATGGCTTGTTGTGGAAACAAAAATTGGTGGTAACGCTTCAGTGGAGAAACCTTTCCCCATGATAACTTTCAGGAGTTAATTACCCTTCAGAGGGGTAGATTTCTCTCATTTCCTGTAGTCTCACTCCTGTTCTTAACTGTGAATACATTGTAAGTTGAATGTTTGTAACTCAGGGACTGCCTGTAAACTGAAAATAACACTTAAGAATGTTGGGAAATTAAGTCTGCAGTATAGTGGGGCAGTACAATTTAGTATTGACCATATATGCTTGTGATCGGACTGTAAGTAAGCGTTTTAAAAACTCAAAATTCAGGGCAATGGTTTGGTTAACATAGGATTCATTTTAAACACCATTAAAATGCTTAGCTCCTAGACCTAATTTGTCCAGCCCATGGAACTACCCAATGTAGTGGTTCTTTTTGTAGCATAAGTACAGAGCTACAGGGCTGAATGTGGAAATTAAGAGGGGGAAATCCTCACTCCTCTATTAAGTGGGATCTTGACTAGATTAGAGCCCTTGGACAACAAACGGGAATCACAGTCATTTGTATTTGGTAGCTCTGTTGAAAATAATCTTTTTAAAATTCTTTTTCTCCAAGGCGTGATTATGATTGGCATTGATGAAGAAAACAATCCTCAGGTATACAAGTGTGACCCTGCAGGATACTACTGTGGATTTAAGGCAACAGCTGCAGGAGTCAAACAGACTGAATCAACTAGCTTTCTTGAAAAGAAAGTAAAGAAAAAATTGGACTGGACATTTGAACAGACAGTGGAGGTAAATCAGAAGAACTATTTCTAACTTGGGTTGTAATCCCTAATGGTGATGGATATTTACAGTTTGGGGTTCAAGTGAGGGAGGCCCTTTCTATATTTTCCTTTTCTGTTCTTTAGTGTTGTGGTTGTCAACATGTGTGAGGTTTGCATTTTCTTTATTGTAGTATATACCAAAGCAGGTTTGGCTCATTGTAATTACTCAGTACTTGAGAAAGGTAAAGGCTTTTTTGTGTTTTTTAATATAGATTTTCCTGAGTCTTTGTTTTTCAAAGCCAGAACGTTCTCTCTCACACTGACACATTGCTGCCAATTGTGGTTTTGTATTAGGCAATTTCCCTTCAAGAGAAATAAAAGCTGAACATAGGCAGATTACAAATTACTTTCTACAATATTCTATAGTCTGATGTTGTTCTTGTAAGTGAATGTATTGAATGTAAAATCGTTACAACATTACATATTCCTCAGTTAGAATCCTAGAATCATTAGAGTTGGAAGAGACCACAAGGACGATCCATCACAACCCCCTGCCATGCAAGGATACACAATCAACACAGTAATTATTAACAAAGAGTTATATAGTTACTGTTCCAGTGTCTGGACAGTTGATTCATTAGGAAGACAACAAAATGTAATTTTGATGTTGGGTCAGAGTCTGGATTTCTGCATATTTATACATTGGCATTTTTTTTTAACCAAAAAGATTTCATGCTTGTAACCTAAGCATGAGGTCACCTTATTTTGCATACCGTACATTGTCTGTTAGCAGCTCCCTATGATAGTGTACTTTCCCAGTCACATTTAGAGATGCCTGGTACTGAAAGTGGAACATTATCCACATAAACCCTTCCCCTGACTTATAGCAGTGAGGATTTCCCTGCCTTGATACCCTTCAAAATCTTTGTTCTGGGTCTTTAAGTTTATATACTAGCATCAAAAGGAGAAGAGGGTAGTAAAATGACAGCCATCATTATCATTATTGAACATAACAGGATGGCCCAGCCTCTGAGATATTAGAAGTTAAATATTTTAAAGTGTTCTTAGGACTTCACAGTCTCTCTTCTTTACTTGAGAGAGTTTGTCTTCAACATACAATATCCATTTGCACATTAGGTAAAGGACAGGACAGCTATAAATATTTAAAGAAAAAGAAAGCATGCCAAGTCAAAGTCTGTGTTTGCAATGGGTAGCTGCTTAAGTCACAGATTGGCAGATGAGCAAACTAACCTGTTTATTTTGTGTCCCACCTCAATTGTCAACTACCACTCAATATTCCAAATGTATCATTGGAGTATTAACATGGATTCACTCAGTCAGTTTTCCGTTGGGTCCTTTCACTATCACTTGAAATTCCCTTCTCCTTTCCTAGAAATAGTGCCAATATACTTGCTTTCATAATCTCATTTATATGCAGCCTAGCTGTGCAGAGGGGAAATTGTATTTTTCTGACTTTCCATATGATAATAGTAGGCCTTTTGCTTTACTGTAAGTGTGGGCAACAGTGGTCTTCTAGATGTTCATGGCTTATAGTTGATATCTGCCTTAATGGCTGATAATGGTTAAGGATTGTGAACTGAAATATAAAAACATCTGAAGGTCTATTTTCAACTCATACTCTGCTCAGATAACACCCAAGACCTTTGTTCTCCACCTGCCTTCCTTTTCTCCCTCTAGTTTTTGCCCCACAAACTATGTTCTTTTCATGTGAGGGAAGCCATTCATGTGAGGGAAGTCCCTGTTAAACAAAAGTAACCCAAACAAACACTAGCCACACATTAAGGCAGTGCTTTCCAAACGCTGGTCTACTAGGTGTTTCAGACTTGAGCTTCCAGAATCCCTGATCACTGACTAAGGCAGCTGAGGCTCCTGGGAGTTGACATTCTAAACAATGGAGGACTAGCATTTCGGGAACACTGTCCTTAGGAGAGCTTTGGTCTCAAACCTGTTCCTCCCACTTTGTTTTATCTTGTACCTGGAGGGTTTATCCTCTTTCAGGATAGAAATGCCTCCTGGCTTTTGTTGCAGCAATTCTTTTCACCTAAATTGCAAGAGTCCTTGAAGTTCATGACACTTCATTGCTACGTTTTTCCCAGTCTAGTCCTCAAAACTTGTATTTCCTAAGCTCAGCTGAAACACTTCTAATCAAATAACACAACTCATACTTATTAAATAAGTTATTTTAGAGCAGCACATGAAAGAATCATCCGGGCGTCCCCTGGGCAACGTCCTTGCAGACGGCCAATTCTCTCTCAACAGAAGTGACTTGTCGCTCCTGACACGACAAAAAAAAAAAAAATGAAAGAAGTTTGGCAAAGGTATAAAGGGTAAAATGGGAATGTACTCCAAGGGTGCAACGAAAGTGATGGAAGCCATAGGCACAGTGAGTCAGGTGTGTTTGTCTGCTGGGATGTGGAGTCAGTAACTGGTCAAGAGGACAATAATTACAGTGCTGATGCAAATTCCCAGGAGTGTTTGGGAAGACCTACATTTAAAACAAACATGTAACTATTGCTTTCTGTTCTCAAGGAAGGACTAGCATAATTATATTCCCAAAGGCTTATACGTGTTATTGTTTTGATATGTGAGTGCTGGTTGTTGTTGTCATTTTTATATGAATGCTGGGCTTTCATGGATGCCCCTTCAAAATTCCCACAGTGCAAATGATTGCAGATCTTTGATGGAAAAGCAGAAATCTCTGCTGAATAGAGAATAGGGAGAAGCAGTTGCCTGGCAAATTTCAGCTGAGGAGTCACTTTGGGCAAAGCACACACAAGAGCAAGGCATTCTTTTGAACTGTTACATTTGAGGCCATTCTTGTTGGCCACAACTATGCAAGTGCTGTCTATTGGAGAAATAGGTTGAGGCAAGCCATGATTTCAAATTCATGCATCTTTAAAAATATACGAACATGTCAACTTTAGTCTTAGTTCATTTGGATACCATTTCTTTCCAGAATGATCTGTAATGTGTCTAGTGAGACTTGGCAATAGAAGCTGCAAGAAATTAATTAGCAGTTGACACCTATATTCCTGGGGCTGTTCTTCAAATTCTGGCCAAAATTGTTAAGCTATAAATATTCACCTATTTTGTGTATGTCTTGCGCTTCCTTGGTGACAGAATAGTTTATTCTGTACTTGTTCATGCATGTCAGTATTCCTGAAGACTGTGATATGCTGAAGCGGAACTGACATCTATGACCCTATTAATGTTGGGTTGAAATGCCCTTTGGCACTTTAAAAAAGAGAAACATTTTTATTAGATTTGTTCATCTTGGCATCTGACATATTAATGCCAATATGGGGGGCTTTCTTTGAATCCTATATTTTACAGAGCTATAAAACAAATGCAAGACTTCTAACAGCAGCTTGCTGCTTCAGCAGAATGATTGCCAGCTTTTGATGGACTCTTGTCAGAGCTTGCATATGTTTGAGTAACTTCTTTCCCATTGTCATATGGATGCATTCTCACTGATATAATTGCAAATGAGCAGGATATTAATCTAACCTCCTCACAGCCATTTTATAATTAACTGAACAGTGAGCCTCTCTAGATCGAGCTATTAAAATATTAAAAAAAAAACACGTTGATACTCCTATGCTCTTATTGTCATGGGACTTTTCCCATGTGATGCCCTTTTGAAGCCTTGTTCCATCTCCAGTCATCCTTTCTCATTGGTCACGGAGGCAGGGACTGGTGGAGTTGTAAGAACATTTATAGGTCTACATGTCAGGACATTTACAGGAGACTACTCATATGTGGGGCGCTAATGCTTTCTGAGGATCCCTTTGTAGTCCTCGAAAGGGAGTATTGAACATGATCCTTGCATACATTCCCATTTCTGTAAAAGGTAGAGAATCTGTATATATAGGTAGCGGTAAGAATATTAAAAAGGCAGAAATGTTCTTGCCTTCACTGAAGTTATGTCTGAGTTTATCTGTGGATCTAAATTCATGGGCTGAACAAGTAATTGTACTTTTAAAAGCTTAACCCCTTTAATAAATGGAGCTTCCAATGCATTTCACAATGGTAAATAAAGCTACCATACAAAATACGTGCATTTTTTTTCTGCTGAATTTATATAGGTTCCTTCAAAAATGGAAAATTGTTCATTCTACAGTGCTGCTCCAAATGTTGCCATAATGTGTATTGCAACTGTCTTTACAAATCTCAGGTGTAAATATGGACTATGTGGGCTGGGATGGCTTCCCTTCTTCTCAGCAGAAAAGTTTAAACTGTATTAGATCTAAATACAATTAATTGTAACTCTGCTTGAGAATATTTGTAGTACAATTTATTTGACTTACAATTAAGAGGTGAAATGTGAACAGTACATTTACAGTGTCTAAAACTGATTTTTCTCATTGTTTGATTTCATTGGACTTCAATGTTACTTCACTTTCAGACAGCAATAACCTGCCTATCTACTGTTTTGTCCATTGACTTCAAACCTTCTGAAATAGAAATAGGAGTTGTTACAGTTGATAATCCCAAATTCAGGTAAAGTAAAGAGTTTTGACCTCCCTTTTTTATTTAAACACAACTCATCAATGTTATTCTTTGACAAAAGTACTTTGAAAATATTTTAGTTTCTGCTGGCTAGCAGTTTGGAGCATTTCGATTTATTACACAAGATGAAGTATATAGTAGTATATGCCTTCTAGCATGTTAAATTTTGTGTATAGAGCTGACAGAGTGCATAAGACTGTATACATATGTGAAATAATCTTGAACAGATGATAAAAAAAGTAAGGGGTTGGTTTTAGTAGGAATCGCAGGAATGACGTAAGCACAGAGTTCCTAACTTTTCTTTATGGATTTTCCACCCCAAAACACCCAGACCCCTATATCCACATGGGATACATTCCCAGCTGGGCCACTGTTACGTGAAACTTCAGCCATGACTGAACACCAGGAATAACCTTTCAAGGAAGTTTGTTATGTCCTTGATCACAACTTTATGGTATATCATAGTATATCATAGTGACCTAGCAGATTCTTAGAGAGACCATTGTTTCCCCTAGATGAGTAAATGAAAACACGGATTTGAGATGCACAGTTACAGGGGTCGTACTGCATATTCACTGCCTAAATGCAGACTTGTGGGCTTATTGGTGACCAGATTTGTTGTGAGAATTGGACTTTCCACCTCTATACAGTTTGAATTATCGAATGGTGCCGATGGATTGAGATACAGAATAAACTTGTCTCCATTGTTCTCATCCCTCCCCTAGGATCCTCACAGAAGCAGAGGTTGATACTCACCTGGTTGCTTTAGCGGAGAGAGATTAGCTCTGTTTACAATCTGGAATTCTCTGACTTCACACCGGAATACCTGGTTGAAACCAAACTTAATAATGGCTCTGGATTATCGGTTGAAAATGGAATGCTCCTTATCTCATGTATTTCACTCTGTACAAATAAAACTGAGGTTTTGGAAAGTTTTGTCCTCTTTTATTTCCGAACATCAAATTATCTGACACATCAGTGATACTCTGCCTGAATAGTATTGTGTGTTATATGTAGCTGTGAACATTCCTGCAAATAATCATAGAAAGCAGCTTTGGAAAAAGTCCTTCAGAGAAAACAGGGTGAAGTTTCTATAAACTTGTAAAACTTGTTAGTTGCTTTACGACTCTCACAAACAGTTACTGCTGATGACAGGAATTTTGCAATCATGTTCAAACTTGCTTATAAAACCCTAGACATCTTTATGCTAAATGAGAATCTATAGGGTACTCAGGAATGGGTGTGCTTACTAAGGGATTAAGTAGTAGGCCTTCTCTTTGGGTCAACTGATACTATTGGTGTATGTCTGGACTGTTGAATCTCCAGAGAAGGATTGGCAGCATGGGTTTCCAGCAATGGTTGGGACTATAATTCCCTGCAGCTTTAGCCAGCATAAACAGTTATGGATGTTGGGAGTTGTAGCCCAATACATAGAAGACACATAGGTCTCTCCCTGCTTCTTAACTGGGGATCTTTAGCTGAATGTTGGGGTCATAAAAATCAGCAACAGTAAAAGGTTCTGAATACCACTCATTTACACAAATCTGTTAGCACCAACCTGCAGTATTTAAAGTGGATTCTAAAAAAATGCTTCAGCTGGACTCCACAAAAAGGAAATTTAGCCTGCTTAGTAAGCTTTGCAAATGCTGATTTGCTATCAGTAAATGTTTTGATTTTGATACCTATTTTATTACATATCTGGGTTCACATAAAATTTCTCGGGCAAAAAGGGGTTGTGAGTGGAGAAAGTTTTACAGGGTGGTACAATAATCAAACTTTAGCATGAAATTGCTTTAATGTGCTAATCCAAAATATAGGCTGTCTCTTGTAATATTAAAGAATATAATATCTTGATTAAAAATTGAGCTTAAGAGTTTGTGTGGTTGAACAGCCTGGGAACAGTGTTGCCCATTTTAACAACATTACTAACAGTGTTTTGATCATTGCAATCATTAGGGAGTATACATTATATAACATACAAAAGTAGATACATTTAGGTCAAGTTAGGTGGCCTTTGGACACTCTGTTTTATAGTGGTAGTTCGAGAGTCCAACAACCACTCCTACCCTAAAGGATATGGCTTGAGTATATTTCAGTGGGAGTGGATTGCTCCTTTATCCTTCCTTAGAATTAGAGGTTGATGTTTACTATGAATTATTATTTCAGGAAGGTGAAGGAGTAATCCGCCAACGGCTGCATATAAAATAAAGTCTGAGCTGCTTTAATGTATGCACCTTGCAAGACTAAGAAAACTAAAGGAGGGACCAACAGATGAAACAGTTTAGAACTTGGGTCTCCTTCCTTGATCTGACTGCAAGAGGGGTCAACTTCATTTTCAGACAAATTTGCTGCTTGTGAACCTCTCATTATTAAGTGGTGTTTTATCTGTATGTGAAACAGCACTATTAAAACTATTATTCCTCATTTTATTTCCTGTCAGGAGCGACTTGAGAAACTGCAAGTTGCTTCTAGTGTGAGAGAATAGGCCGTCTGCAAGGACGTTGCCCAGGGGACACCCAGATGTTTTACCATCTTATGTCCCTACCTGAGAAGCTAGAGCTGACAGGTGAGAGCTCACCTCACTCCCCGGATTTGAACTATAGACCTTTCAGTCAGCAGCCCTGCTGGCCACTGCGGGCTCCATTCCTCAAATTAACTAATACTAAATGCAATCCCATTTCAAAGTTATTTTTTTGGGTTCAGTGAGATTTTCTTCAAGGTAAGTGTGGATAAAACTGCAGATGTCACAGTCTGCATGACAACAACAGCTATCTGAATGGATTATGTTGACAAACCAGATTCCCCCTAAAGTCCCCCTATAGCCCCAGCATCTGGGAGGAATAGAGAAGAGGAAATGCTGCTTTATAAACTGAAAGTGCGTATATTTGTTTAGAATCTCACCTTTTTCCAACATGGGATCAATGGTGGTTTACAGCAACATTAAAACAAACAATCAAAAACATTATTAAAAACTTAAAACACAAAATTAGAAAACATTTGGGGGCAATATTATGCCTTGTCCTACAAATTCAACTGACACAAATGATACTGTTTAAGCTTAAATAGTAATTAGTTATTCCAAAGCATTTCTGTCCATTTTAAAGGTTTTTTTACTTGCTGTATTAAAGTAGTATTCTTAATTTATTGCTATGGTAGATGATAAGAACAGTAGTTCTCCCAAAGGATTCATTTCCTTAACGTTCTAACACCTAGAATTCCTGAAACTGTAGAGAAATAACATTTAGTACCTTTGAAAGTGCAATCTTACACATCACTGCTCAGACATAACTCCTGCCAAAATTATTCCAGGAACCCTGATATAAAAATGCAATCTTAAAAGTACACAGGTTGGATCTTCCATTGTTTCAATTCCAGTGTTGCCAAACTGTATTCTAAAAAGGGTGTTCCAAATGTTCCGCCTGCCCCTTTTTCTTGCTGTTTGTTCTTGTGAGAGTTCATGGTAATTGTGTTTTTACTCTTTCTGTATATCAAGAAATCTCGAAACAGGAAGGAAGTCTCTAGGTGATGAAGCCAGGCGTATGCAACCGTCTTGGGAGTCTACTAAAAAACAACAAATACGTGCGTTACCCTATCCTGATTTAGTTGGCACACAAGCTTCATAAACAACAATTAAATACTGTTGCTGCCGAACTGGTTTATCTAGTGTGTAACCTAATGTGCCTGCTATTTACTCTGTATAACTTGCCAGTTTGGTCTCTTAACTATTCCCAGAGCAGTTCTTGAGTTTTAGATAATTGGGGCAGCAAGAGGTTTTGGAGAGAAAGATCAATGGAAAATGTGTAAAGCTAAATTAAGCTAAAACAGATGTCTAACCGATTTAGTAGCAAGTGTCATTAACAAAGTTATGGGGTTGTTGTGAGTTTTCTATGGCCATATTCCAGAAGCATTCTCTCCTGATGTTTTTCCTTCATCTATGACAGGCATCCTCAGAGATTGTGAGGTCTGTTGGAAATGAGGAAAATTGGGATTATACATCTGTGGAATGTTTCTCCCACCCTGGACATTCCACAGATATATAAACCCCACTTGCCTAGTTTCCAACAGACCTCACAACCTCTAAGCATGCCTGCCATATAGATGTGGGTGAAACATCAGGAGAGAATGCTTCTGGAACATGGCCATACAGCCTGGAAAACTCACAACAACCCAGTTATTCCAGCCATGAAAGCCTTCAACAATGTATTAACAAAGTTCTTTAAGTAGCAAAGTTGGGCAAAAGGAAAAAAGAGCAACCTTCTGAACAATATTATCAGTATATGTGTCTTACATAATAGTTTATCTCTGGTCCCATAAATGGAGGTTAGTCAAACTCCAGACTACCATTGTGGTTTTGTACTCAATTGACCTAATGAATGTTACCACTGTTTTGGATTTGAGGTACCCAGAATGAGCAGAGTAGTGCTGTCTGGTTTGCATCTGGCCTTACATTTGGCCAAATTTAGCCCATCCTATAGTCAAAATAGCTATACTTCATTTTTGACACTGCAACTTAGAATTAGGTCAGTTAGGCCTAAGGACAATATGGAAACTGGTTGTCAAAATATCGTTTCATCTTTCTTTTTGGAGTCTTGAGGAAAATATGACAGGCTTGTGATACCATCTTTTACTTGGTGATAGTAAAGTTAATAATTGCAGAAAAAAATCCCTTCTCACACTCTTCTCAGGACTTCCCTTCTCACACTCTGGTTTGAGAACAGCAATGTATTTATTGTGTCATGATAAGTAAATTGAAGGAAAGTCCGTACAGGCTGCAAGCAGTTGCCTCTGGCAATTCAGAAAGTGCATTTGCACTGATACCAGACAAGTACAGCCTTGAATCTGTGTTTATCTCTTGAATTATGTCCAATGTTTGTAGTGCAACTCTACTAGATGGGACTATAGCCAGCAGCTATGTGCATACCTCATGTGTGTGCATGTATGTGACATCAAGTCATAAATTTCATGTGGTTTTTTTAAAGCAAGGAATACACAAAGGTGGTTCAGTATCTTCTTATTCTGCATATATCCTACAACAGCTGGTTTCTTTGGCTGCCTCCCATCAAAGTACTAACCAAAACTGACCCTGTTCAGCTTCCAAAAGGAGACACAATGTGGTGCCTTCTGGATAGTACTTACTTAGGCGATCCCTCGTAGCTCGAGGATGATTGTCCTCCAGATGTAGTGTCTTGGTATTCCTCAGCTGCACTGTATTCAAGTATTAACTAGGGAAAAACATTGCTTAGTTTTCAAAATTGGAGATAAAACCCAACAGGTAGACTTGTCACATAATGCATCACCACCTTTAGAGGAATCCACTAAATTGAGAGGAGGAATTCCTCCTCCTCCTCTTCCTCATCATCTTCTTCTTCTCCTTCCTCCCCCTTCTTCTTCTTTCTTTCTCTATCAATAGAGACTCAAAGTGGAAAACTGTTCTAAAAGCAACATATTATAAAACCTATATATAAAATATAAAACCTAAAAGCTATACACACTAAATAGAATTAAACAAAGCACTATGTAACAGTAAAATCACAACAACCCCAGACGCAATTTTAAAAACTTTCTTCCTTGATTGCACTATGGATGCATTTTAATTTTAAAGTATGATTTCTTTCTTCATAGGTTATGCAAGCATTATGAAAATCTCAACCCATTAGTTCAGTCCTTTTCACAGAACCAGGAATTTGCAAAATGTCTGTATCAAAGAACACTCAGCACACAAATGTAAATAAGCACTTTTCTGGCACTTTTACAGGACTTTGCTGTGGTTATATTCACAAGTTGTATGTAAACATATCCAAAGAACAAATTCACCAGGGGAAAAGAAAACGGGGAATTCATTGCAGAGAGTTTGGAAATCCCCATCTTAACAGCGTTGGACCTCATGGTACCATTCATCTGAAAGTAAGTGGGAGTCTATTGAATTTTTCTG